TTCGGATGGCTACATGCACATTTACTCAGAATTTAAAGAAAAATCGTAAGAACAACAATTTTAGCATCCCAGCAAAACGCAGAAATTGCCAGAAAAGGCATTTGCCTTGCCGACTGCTTTGGCTTCTTCCGAATTCGGTCCCTCACTCGCTTGATGTTTGTCTTTGTGAAGACAGTTGGGCGTCTACCGCTTCTTGGTGCAACAGCAATTGTTCCCGTAGCCTAAGTCTGAGCCTAAGTCTGAGCCTAAGTCTGAGCCTAAGCCTAAGCCTAAGCCTAGCCCGCAGTTTTCAATTCACCAACCCAATAGTTCGGATGGCTTTGTCGCTCTTTTTGTGAGGATATAACCGATTTGATGCAGGGATATTTTGACAATCTTTTTTAAAATGAAAATTTTAAAACCGATAAGTATTATATAATCGATAAATCAAGCTTTACAAAAAAAGTGTGTCAGAAGTTAGTCAGAAGAATGTTTCGACGAAATTGAAACTTTTTTATGGCCTCTGGATATAAAATTGGCGATTAGAATTGCTAAATTTGTCTAAAAGAAATGCCAAGTACGGTTGAAATTTAGTAAATATACTTTTTACAAGAGTTTTTGAGTCAAAAATATTCGCAAACACGAGATATTGAAGAAGAGCTAAGTTGTTTTGGACTTTGGACTTTGAAATAGTTTCATGTCATATCAAATAGCTGTACTTGCTTGAAATGCTTTAGATGCTTTAAATGAAATGCTTGAAAAAGTCGCTAAATAGATAAAACTTTAATAGATTTATATTAGAAAGATATATGATTGAAAGCATTGATTGAAAGGATTGATTGGTTATTGAAAATTCGGGCTGAATGATGAGTGGGAGCTTGGCGGTACTGTTGTTTAGCCTACTAATGTTTACATGATCGTTTTTGTACTCGAAACCAATTCTTTACACACATTCAGCCAAAACATAACAATTTTTGTGTTTTTTATGAGATTCAGAGATTTCTTTTTGTACGAAATTTCACTCAACGATTAGATCATCCGACGATAGGGATGTGCGACAGAAAATCGTATCCAAAAACAAATGACACATTAAAAATGAATAAGACGAAAAAATAAAATAAAAGCAAAAATAAAAGCTAAAATAAAGGCGAAAAAAAGCTAAAATAAAAACGAAAATAAAAATGATATTTTTCTTATAAGCTGTTTACCGTAACCCGCCAAGGGCTAGTTCGTGTTTAAAAGGAAAATTTTTTGACAAATTTTTCATTCGGGACAATTTTCAATAGGGTAATTTAGTTTATAGCTACACTGGTTTTTGGAATAAATTGTCCAACCTTAAAATTGGTGAACAATACATCATATCGGAAAAGCTTATTAGAAAAATGATATTATGTTTATAGCGAGTAAAAACTCGTAGAGTTTGGCGAGCAAACATAATAGATAAATCTTTTGAAAAACATGATACATTTTTGGAAACATGGTTAACTTTTGTGTGTGTGCTTTCAAAGAAATTCGATCTTAAAAGCGACAAAGTTGGGTAACTGAACCGAAAGAACAAAAAAAAATGGGGTGGTTTTGAGGGGGGTTGAAAAATGCAGACATACACAAAATGAAGAGAATTTTAAGCATTTTGTCTTTTTTTCTGTGAAAAAAAATCGACTGATTGACATTTTGGAAAGACGAAAAGGACAGCTGGTCATTAGGTGAGAAATTGGGAGAAGACAATGGAGAAAATGAGGATTTTAAAATGGGTTTACAACTTTTCAAATAGTCTCAACACATCCAAGCTGAGAAAGCTGAGCTCTCAGCTTTTCAGAAAGCTGAGATTGAATTCTAGAAATTGGTAACGGTTTGCTTTTGATGCATTGGTTGCATTGGTTGCATTGGTTGGCTTGGTTGCATTGGTTGCATTGGTTGCATTGGTTGTATTGGTTGCATTAAGAGTATAATCTTGACTCTAAACATTGATAGTCTAATCAAAGATTAAAGAGCAATTCCTGTACCTTGTCGTGGCCAAGTTTTCCGACCAATTGCGACCTTTTTCCAAGAAAATCCTGTATTGGCGCTTTAAAGCGTGGTAAAACTACCGTACCCCTCCTAATTTGCGCGAAGTTTCATTTTTTTCATTCTTGTTCATTTCATTTTATTCTTTTTGCGTTTTTCTGATATAGCTGCGTTTGTTTTTGCAGGAAACAAAGAGGATAAAGCTAAGTTACGTTTTTAACAGCTTTTCTCTAGCGGAAGCTTTGTTTGTAGAGTTTTTTTAGACCCACTTGCTTCCCGACGATCTGCTCCACGAGCTTGATGCCAACTAATGTTAAGTTAAGTGGTTTTTATCATTTTCTATGGCGGAGTCTTTGTTTTTGAAGTGCCAACCCAGGATTTTCTCGGAAAAAGGTCACAGATCACAAGTTTCGGACCAGGCTAGCCGAGGCAAGGCCAAAGCCAAGCGTGGCAAAAAGCTTTTGGATTCACCTGAAGCCAGGCTCTTCCCCTAAGAACTTTCCTAGGGCTTACAATTCCTATGAACACTATATCCCTGACCATGACTCAAAGGGTTCCGATTTATTAAAAGTGAATCAAACAAGGTTGAGCTTTAGAATAAAATCTGATCAGCGGATTTGTACTTATGGTGCACTTATATCCAAGATAAAAAACACTCAATTTGCAAGATGGTATTAAAAGTAAACAGGTACGATTTGTAAACCAAATTAGATCCAAAAATCAATCGCCAAGTCTTGCCAAATCAAATCAATCATCTCTTGACATGTTGAACATTGCAATATATCTTATAGTTGGGTATCATTTCTTTTTCTTATTTCAATGTGGATTGTGTGGGCCAACAACTGCGCACACTTCCCATTGGAGCAATACACACTTCCCATTGAAGGGTCAAAGGGAACGGAAAGGGTAATTATTCGAACAAGTAATGACCATCGAAGAAGAAAAAGATGAGAGAATAGACGCCGACAAATAAGAGAACATTGAATTTATGGGGAGATTTTGGAATGAAGTGATGAAATGAGAGATTTTGGACGAGAGACTAGTTGGGGGTGATTCGAATTTTAGATCTTAGTTATGCTTTCGAGTGCTTTGAAACGAATCCAGACTTGTGCCAAAATTCAAAATTAAACCGTAGCTCAATTGAATTAAATTGGTTTAAACTAATTGAATTTTGTTTGTTTGTTTGTTTGTTTTGAGAAAATCCGAGCCATAAAAGTCATCGAACAAATCTACAAAGCCGTTGGGGTGGTAAATTTATGAGCATGAAGGCATAAATACTCTATATACCTACCTAACCTGGTTCTATAACTCACACGTGTGACCGACTATGAGAGAAAAGGCACTCGAACGGAAAAATATTTAGCCAATTTGCGAGATTTGTCATGAACTAAAGGATAATTGGGGAATTCCCTAGGGGACACAGATTTTTGTGTTTTTGTACTGGCTTTTTGTTGCTGTTGTTCATGCTGTTCAATCTGTTCTTTCAAAACGTCTACATCCGAAACAAAGTTCAAAAAGTTCGGAAAAGGCAACAATGGCATATCACAATTAGCATAGTTTGCATTTAAAGTATTTTTAATGAATGTTTGATAAACATATTTTGATATAACTGAATACCGTAAATACTCTAAGCAAAATCCTTTGACTGAATATCATGAGAAAGCTCAACATAGTCTGTTCCTTACGTAAAAACTCTCATTTCATTCAACTTTTTTGTTTTCTATCCTTAGACAACTTTCTAACGTTTTGCTGCTTTATATGCCTTTATATGCCTTTTTGCCAACAGAATTTATCTTATACGTACTCACTGTAATCTCACAACTTAAATTTGGACACAAAATTCATTGAACGGCCACGCCACATCCTATTCTTTGTCTTTTTTATCAGCTTCTTTTGGATTTTATACTTATTTTCGAATTATAATTTTGTTTTTTAGATACGATGAGCGATCGAGAAAGTTTGGATGGATTTGAAGAATTTCGAGATCGAAGAGAAAGCGAACTCAATGGGTATTGGAGGAAGGACGAGACCATCTTCGTGAGAATGGATCCAGTGATCGATCAGTGAAGGAGTTGGACAAAGACATGGCCAAGCAAAGACGGAAATCGATCGACGTGAGGATAAAACTCAGCAAAAATGGCAAAGGAAGTCTCCATCAGCTCTGCCGCTGCGAAGCAAACGACGAAGAAGACGATTTGATTCAATGTTTCAAGGCCGACGGCGCAATTCCTACTGGGTTACAGCTGCTAAAAGACGCTCGAATGGAGAAAGAAATCGATAATTTTCTTGGGCCATTCCAATCAACACGACTTCTGGAATTCCGCGAACTTGATAATCAAGAAGGAATCGATGAATTTATTGATTCAGACGCATCGCTTTGATTTGACGATTGATCTGTTTTTATGCTTAAATCACTTTTGTTTTGTTGATTGTTAAAGATGAATAAATGAAAGTCAAAAGTCAAAAAATGTCAATGAATTATCTGGAAGACTTCCAGGGTTTTCTAAAAAATTTTTTAAAGGAGGAAGATTAGAGGCGCACCCCAGAGTGGGAGGGAAAAATTAGAAGCGCATGCCCTTCTACTAGGGTATTTACGGTAGTTATTGTCGTAGTTTTAATTGATTATATTTTCTCTCCTGCTGCAGAAAGTCATTTCTTCTGCCAGCGCATCCAATAGCCTTACTGTTTGAATATCCTTTCTTTTCCGTCCAAATTTCGTGCCTAAACACAGAATTAACTCTACCCAATCCCATTCATAGCAAACGTTTAAGTTCTTGCTAATTTATCACGGTTCACACTTGCACGGTGCACGATTAAAAAGGCTCGGATTCAAAGGATAAAGGCCCGCTTCTTTTCAAAGTCCGTGATCTACGGTGTCTTTCCCACAAAATTAGGTTTCTTTTGATCATTTCGCCACTCATCCGTTCGTTTTTGCCCGAGATAGCTTACCTCACTTTCTCAAAATGCTTTTCATATTTCTATATTGTTTTAAATTAAACAATATTTCGTTATTTTAGATGCTCTTTCGCCCGTCTTCGCTGATTCGGTTAGCGACACGAAAAATGAACATCGAAGCTCTCGCACAAGCCGATCCGATACAAGCTCAACACATGAAGGTTCGCTTTGTTACTGTTATACAAAATGCTGTAAGGTTTCTTTGGCACTTTAATCATAGCAATCATGAACATGTTATTACTTAATCGGTGGTTCTTTATCAATAGCAGGTGCTTAACCGATAAAAGCTTGAATCGATGAGAATAAGTTCACTTACTTCCGCTCAAGAAATTTGATCAGAATTCATTTGCAAGATGCATGTTACTTGAGGGTAAAAAATAATCGGGGGCTGTTATCAACCGTAATACTGATGAAAGCAATAAAAACCTATAAGAAAACCTAATTTAAGCCATACCAAGATTACAGATGATCAATTTATTCATTGTTTGCTTACTTAAATTTAATTTTAGGAGGTCTGCATAGCGGTGAACGAGTCGGATGTGCCGGAAGAAGCGATCCCAAAATGCGACGCGCATCACATTGAATCGCTTACGTTACATCGGGCTTTCAGGTAGTGTTTTTAGAATTTTTGATTAGCTTTGTGAATTTCTTATTATCAAGGTTTCATTTATCTTTAGAATCTTACAATGAGCGGGTCTATTTTTTGAACCTTTTTGTTTATAGTGTTTTCGCATTCACGCCCGATCATCGCCTGCTCTTACAGAAGCGTTCCAAGCACAAGATCACCTTTCCGGAGATGTGGACAAACACATGCTGCTCTCATCCATTGTGGAATGATGCCGAATTGAAAGGCGTTGAAGGTAGAAGCTTGAAATGTATCATTTAATGTTCTAAATCAAATCTTTAGGTGCAAAAGCGGCGGCAAAGCGAAAGATGGAACATGAATTGGGGATAAAAGCAATTGAAGATGACCGCTACTTATTTAAGGTAATCCATTTTCTCAAGAATAGTCGACATTTATCTTGTTATGTTTTTTATGAACTGAATACTTTTGAGCTACCTAAATACTATTTTTAATTTAGGGAAAGTACTTGTACAAAGCGATGATGCCGAATTCGCCATGGGGAGAACACGAGATGGATTATGTGCTCATCCTTCGTAACTTCGATCTGTCACGGATAGAAGTAAACGCGGAGGAAGTTGAGAATTATGCAGGTTTGTACCCAATGTTATAGCTGTAACGCACCATAACTACAAAGTTGGTGGAAGCTAACCGCAGTTAAGTGGTTTTGGAAGAGTAACGTAGTATATGGCTAAATACGGATAGTCCTTTATTTGGAGAATATGATTACCACTACATATACATTGCTTTAGTTGTATCGTTGGAAGAGTTGAAGAAGCGCCTGGCGAATCCAAACTGCAATTTCACGCCTTGGTTTCGTCTCTTCGAAAATCTAGGACATCTCGAAAAATGGTGGAAAAACATTGAAAAGCTGGAAGAAGATAACGAAGAATTAATTATTCGGATGTAAATATTCGTCGATTTGATTTGTTTGCCTTAGCAATTTAATTTTTCTTAATTTTTTATTTAGTATTGCTTTAATCGGGTTTTGTCATTTTTCCCTGTACAGGTTGCGCGTGACTTTGTCTTTTGTTGAACACATTCCTTTATCAATAAAGTTGATTCCATAATTGTTTGCCACAGATTTAAACGTTGTTAAAAGACATTTATGTATTTCAAGCTCACTTTGGAGTGGTTAAAGTTTAATGTGTTCATCAATGTTCATTTTAATCAACGCTTTATTTAGGCAAAATTGGCGTCGAATGAAACGAAAGCAAGATCAACCATCAAAACAAAAGGCAAAACGACTTGAGCAGTTTAACGAGCCGGGATCGTTGGCTAAAAAGCAAGAAAATTTGCTAAACTATTAGCTATTAGCAGTTTTGAAATCTTTTGACTTGGAAAGTGTATCAACTTCAAATAAATAAGATCGCTAAGTTGCACCACACTTTCAAAGAATGTCGGTTTTATGTGTAAAGTAGAACTTTTATAAAACTTTCCATTTCTAAATCTTTACTTTAGAAAAAGCATTATCCATATCGAGTATAACAACGCGACGTCGAAATGGGAGGTCACACGACAAGCGGTGAAATTTTTTAAACAATCTATTATACTATTTTTTGTAGACAAAGTATCTACAGACAATGGGGGTTCCCGGGGTAAAGGGTGCACCCCAAACATTGTACCCTGAAGAGGTTTGAGATTGTTTTTTCTTTGCAACATGACATTTTAGGTATTCTACTTGTACGAAATTGGATCGGCGATCGTGAAAGAAAAAGAAGGAAGACAATTAATTGGAACAGAGGTATAACAATATTGAGATAGCAATAAAAAAAGTTGTGTCAGGTTTTGGCACTAGCTCTGCGAGCAATCTCCTTTTCTTGTTTGATGACGTATCGGGAAATGCGACGAGCCGGATTTGTTGTTGTTCGGAAAAGGTTTGTTATTTTATACAAGTCTCGATGTTTATGCTTGCTTTCAGCAATAGTTTAATTATAATTTATATTTTTAGGTTGCATCCTACAGAACCGGTTGCACAGACGCAAGCGACACCATCGATAAGTTACTTTGACGAGAAAGCCAATAAGCCTTCGACATCCGAGCCCACCATCAATATTTTAGCTGAAACAAAGAAGTACGGTTTGAAAGTGCCTTTCACAACACATGTTATATGAGAATTTTTACTTTGATTTTACGCAAGCAAATTTTAACTTTACATTCAGATCGCCTTCAGAACCTGCAAATGCCTCCTTGTCTCTGAAGCCTTTTTCATCGACAGTGCTTGATATGTTTCCGACGCTTGAAAATGGCAAAATGAAGTCGGTATTATCTAAGAGTACAACTTTTTATTACAACGGTGACTGATGTTCAACTTTTAGAATGATTCACCTGGCGACGGATCAAAATTTATCACCAATGCATGAGCCTATTTCATCTAGAATAGTCTCACCGAATGTGATACGGCTAACTCCAGATGTGAGTTGTTAAATTTTGATGTTACTTTAATATTTCTAGGTGGATCGACCGAAGATGATGAAACGTCTCTCGACACCTTTAGCGCCGAGGTTTTGGCCAAACTTAGAGGAGGTAATTGTTAATAATTTTATTTTAATAACAATTCGATATTTTGTTAAGCTCGCGACTACAGCTTCAACATGGAGTGAATATCGCGAAAAATTCAAGAGAACAATGGAGATGAACGAACAACGGGCATTTAATAGGTATTTTTTTATTTACCCGTATGAATACAAGCTTGAAAACTTTAAATGGCGCTTACAATGATAAGTTTATGCGATCTAATTAACTATACCGCACGATAACATTGTTTGGCATGTAAATTTGTTCGTATTCACGTTTAAATGTCCTCTTCTAGATACAACTCTTTCAAGAGTCCATTTCAAATATCAAGAGGAGGACCGGCACCTCGACGTGGTTTCTCTCGAGCTCCATTTCATGCAAACACATCTTACACACCACGGCCATTTCAACGAACACCACTGATGCCAAAAGTAAAACAGCAAATGGGAGTGGAGTACGACATTTACAAGGCGGGCACATTTATGCACACAGTTGTGACGCCTCCATTTATGCGAATGACTGTACTTGAGTAAGTGGTTTTATTAATTTTGAAGCTAAGCTATTGAAGTACGCAATAAACTAATTGCAAGAATGTGCCATTCAAGTTAGCTGTAGAAAATGAGATAAACAAAATGTAGATATTTTTTCAGATCAAGTTGTGGGAACGTGCTATCAAGTGCCAATCCGGATCCAACGATTCGCTCGATTTTCGCCATGGTTTCAGCCGACTCCGTCATCACCTACATTGAACACTCGAACAATCCGATAACACTTCAAGAGATGGAAAAGTTTGTTCAATAAGTAGTCATTTGTGTTCATTTTCATCTGTAATTTCGGTTTTCTTTGTCGATAATTTTTTTTGATAATTTTTTACCGGTTTTTAACTGTCTTTGTACAAAAATAAATATTTATCAGTCACTATACATGCACTAGATTGCTGGCTGATGAAGGGCGTGTTCAAGAATTTCATGGTCGTGTTGATTTGCCAATTGCCAAGAAACGAAGATTGCGATCACCATGAAGAGGAAGATCAGAGAAGTATAATCAATCCATTCGGCGAGAAAATTCAAAGAGTGGTGTGCTGAAATTTGATCCGCTTTAAAGACCATTTTGCATTTTTTAAAACTTACATTTTTGAGACCGGTGCTGCGGAATGGAACCTTGTGTTGTTGGGATGTCGACTCGAGCTGTGGAATACTGCAATATGGTCCAAATTTTAGTATTTCAATTAGAAATTTGCATTACCAATGGCGTTGAGCGAACATTTTTGCGACCATTTTGATCAAAATTCACGATATCATTTATTTCTTTGGCTTAAATTCTTGCATACAAGTAAATTTTGAAGATCTCCCAAATTACATACCTGGATAGAAAGTGAATGACGGAAAGGAGAATACCAGTAATAAAAAAGTTTTTGAAATCATAAAGCTCAGAATAATCAGAGAGGTTTACGAAATAGAAAGAAAAGAATTCCCTATGAATTCCCGTATGAACTAAGCGTCTTATCAATTTTCTCCACCTCAAAAAAAACAGACAGACAGAAATCTTATGTTGAGAAAGGAAAAGGTTCTTAAAAATTTTGTCGCGTGATTAAGCTCTGCTCCAGAGATTGCCGTTCTGGAAGTGGAAAGACCCAGGGTAAAGTGCAAAATGAATCACCCAAATTGAAAGGTCAACAATCAGTCAGCTAATAAGTATTTGAACCGTACGGTAGACTCTTGAAATGCTTTGCGATCTCAAACTTGTTACTGTAACTTTTGCGATGACTGCAACAATTACTGGTTACTGTGACTGTAACAAAGCACTCACACTTAAACGAACAAAAGCTTTATATCTGATGCTATAATATAAACTCTCCACGTTTTTCATTTTCATTTTTGGTTGTCGATTTGGGAATTTAATATTGAAAAGCTCTTGTCTGCTCCATTTTGATATGCAAATTTCAAAATCAAACTTTTTCACTTATTGTTAGCATGTTCATCAATGTGATTAACGATGGTAGAGATTGGACAATGATGGTAGGGATTGGACAATGATGGTAGGGATTGGACAATGATGGTAGGGATTGGACAACGATGGTAGGGATTGGACAATGATGGTAAGGATTGGATAACGATGGTAGGGATTGGACAACGATGGTAAGGATTGGACAACGATGGTAGGGATTGGACAACGATGGTAGGGATTGGACAACGATGGTAGGGATTGGACAATGATGGTAGAGATTGGACAATGATGGTAGGGATTGACAACGATGGTAAGGATTGACAACGATGGTAGGGATTAAAATTCAAGAACTTATCTGCCTGGGCAGATCGCGGCTTTCAAAGAGTATATAATTAGATTCAACGTTGTACAAGCGTTTTGTTTAGGTTTTAAGTTTTAAGAAAACTTAGTAGACTTTCGAATTTGCAAAATCTCCTCCCTCACTACAAACAAATCAATGCGTTCTTGCCATCCCGTCTCGACCTTTCACCCATTTCCATTTTAAAGCCTCTCTTTTCTTTTCTTTTCCTTCTTCCGTCTAGTCATGCCATTTTATCAGTGAAAATTATGTGATCAATGACACATTTCTAAAAAAGAGAACCCTCAATCACTAAAGCTCTTGAGCACTTTGAGCACAAATCACTAGAACTTTCTCCCTGAAATATCAAAGAACCTCTATCAAGAAGAAAACTAACTTTTGGATGCTGTGTGAGTGCTCCTTTGATCTCAGCTGTGCTCAACAAATGTCCGCTAACATTCATCAAATCGTGAACACTAGAAAACTCAAGTTTCAGTCTAAACTAGAGAATTAGCATTAAACAGACAGTATTTTAGAAACCGCCTTTGGACTTATCAGCAATCGCAAGCAATCAGCGGAACTACCAGTCCACAAATCCAAGAAAGTCCAAGAGTTCTGCCAAAACAACTCCCCAGACTTCATTTCTTTTCTGAGTTAGCTCTTTAGATCTTAACCCAATGGATTTTTCAGTGTTGTCGGTTTTCTAGAAGTCAAAGCTTGTTAGCTTGTTCAAAGCCCCACAAAAACATTGAAAGCTTGAAGAAATCACTGTTGAAAGTGTGGGAAGAGCTCGATGCAACCTATTTGATCGCCACCGTTGACGCCTTCTCGAAACGCCTGCGAGCCTGCTCAAATGCAAATGGTTTCAAATTTGATAGTTCATTTATAATTGTTAATGTACAATAAATGTTATTTCAATAAATTATTCAGTTAGAAATTTGTCCTTTTGCTGTTGTTTGCCTTAAAATCAGAACTTTATCTTGTTACGACAATTATTTCGCACTCTGTACACCATGAAAGAATTTGGCAAACTCAGTGATGTTTGTACTAGGATTGGAAACAATTTTAGTACTGTCTAAGGGAAACGAAAGAATTGGAAAGCATCTTTAGTTTTAGAGTTGAAATAGAAGAAGAAAGACTTGCTGTTTTTCGAATAAACAGCTTTTAATGTCTTTTATAGAATAGATCGAATCGCTGTTGATCTTAAGAATCTGCGTTGGCAAGTTTCCAGAAATGCTCTTGATTCACTAAAGCTTTCGCAAGTGTTTTGAAATTCACAGAATTCCTTTCTCAAGTAAAACACTTATCTAGACGATGACAAATTGTTAACGGTAATAACGGTAATAATGTTGACGGTAAAAGGACAACGAAATGTGTTCAAGAGTACATATGATAAGCTTAGAATCATTTGAGCAGAACTTTTCTTTGAGCCGAAGGGGATTAAATGAATTGCTAAGGCCAAATTTCATCACTAAATTTATGAATCAAGCAAAACTTCAAACAAACACTTCTTTTTGTTTAAATCGAACTTTATCTAGAACTGCCGAAATTTCGTTCCTTCGTCTTTTCCAACAGCAGACATTGAATGATTTGAGACTCCCAGTCAAAGCAAAAATGATGACGCCAATGATGACGTCAATAATGGCTGCAATGAGCTTATTTAAGGTAATCCATTTTCTCAAGAATAGTCGACATTTATCTTGTTATGTTTTTTATGAACTGAATACTTTTGAGCTACCTAAATACTATTTTTAATTTAGGGAAAGTACTTGTACAAAGCGATGATGCCGAATTCGCCATGGGGAGAACACGAGATGGATTATGTGCTCATCCTTCGTAACTTCGATCTGTCACGGATAGAAGTAAACGCGGAGGAAGTTGAAAATTATGCAGGTTTGTACCCAATTTTATGGTTGTAACGCACCATAACTACAAAGTTGGTGGAAGCTAACCGCAGTTAAATTGTTTTGTAAGAGTAACGTAGTATTTGGCTAAATATGGATAGTCCTTTATTTGGAGAATATAATTTATCAGAATTATACCACTACATATACATTGCTTTAGTTGTATCGTTGGAAGAGTTGAAGAAACGCCTGGCGAATCCAAACTGCAACTTCACGCCTTGGTTTCGTCTCTTCGAAAATCTAGGACATCTCGAAAAATGGTGGAGAAACATTGAAAAGCTGGAAGAAGATAACGAAGAATTAATTATTCGGATGTAAATATTCATTGATTTGATTTGTTTGCTTTAGCAGTTTCTTTTTCTATGATATTTAGTATTGCTTTTAATTTTAAAGAAGCTTTAATCGGGTTTTGTCATTTTTCCATGTACAGGTTGGCGTGACTTGGTCTTTTGTTGAATACATTCCTTTATCAATAAAGTTGATTCCATAATTGTTTGCCACGGGAGATCTAAACGTTCGTTAAAAGACATTTATGTATTTCAAGCTAACTTTGAGTGGTTAAAGTTTAATGTGTTAATCAATGTCCATTTTAATCAACGCTATTATACTATTTTTTGTAGACAAAGTATCTACAGACAATGGGAGTTCCCGGGGTAAAGGGTGCACCCCAAACATTGTACCCTGAAGAGGTTTGAGATTGTTTTTTCTTTTGCAACATGCCATTTTAGGTATTCTACTTGTACGAAATTGGATCAGCGATCGTAAAAGAAAAAGAAGGAGGACAATTAATTGGAACAGAGGTATAACAATATTGAGATAGTAATAACAAAAGTTGTGTCAGGTTTTGGCACTAGCTCTACGAGCAATCTCCTTTTCTTGTTTGATGACGTATCGGGAAATGCGACGAGCCGGATTTGTTGTTGTTCGGAAAAGGTTTGTTATTTTATACAAGTCTCGATGTTTATGCTTGCTTTCAGCAATAGTTTAATTATAATTTATATTTTTAGGTTGCATCCTACAGAACCGGTTGCACAGACGCAAGCGACACCATCGATAAGTTACTTTGACGAGAAAGCCAATAAGCCTTCGACATCCGAGCCCACCATCAATATTTTAGCTGAAACAAAGAAGTACGGTTTGAAAGTGCCTTTCACAACACATGTTATATGAGAATTTTTACTTTGATTTTACGCAAGCAAATTTTAACTTTACATTCAGATCGCCTTCAGAACCTGCAAATGCCTCCTTGTCTCTGAAGCCTTTTTCATCGACAGTGCTTGATATGTTTCCGACGCTTGAAAATGGCAAAATGAAGTCGGTATTATCTAAGAGTACAACTTTTTATTACAACCGTGACTGATGTTCAACTTTTAGAATGATTCACCTGGCGATGGATCAAAATTTATCACCAATACATGAGCCTATTTCATCTAGAATAATCTCACCGAATGTAATACGGCTAGCTCAAGATGTAAGTTGCTAAATTTTGACGTTACTTGAATATTTTTATGTGGAACGACCGAAGATGATGGAAACGTCTCTCGACACCTTTAGCGCCGAGGTTTTGGCCAAACTTGGAGGAGGTAATTGTTAATAATTTAAATAACAATTCAATATTTTGTTAAGCTCGCGACTACAGCTTCAACATGGAGTGAATATCGCGAAAATTCAAGAAAACAATGGAGATGAACGAACAACGGGCATTTAATAGGTATTTTTTTTATTTACCCGTATGAATACAAACTTGAAAACTTTAAATGGCGCTTACAATGATAAGTTTATGCGATCTAGTTAACTATACCACGCGATAACATTGTTTGGCATGTAAATTTGTTAGTATTCACGTTTAAATGCCCTTTTTAGATTCAACTCTTCAAGAGTCCATTTCAAATGTCAAGAGGAGGACCGGCACCTCGACGTGGTTTCTCTCGATCTCCATTTCCATGCAAACACATCCTACACACCACGGCCATTTCAACGAACGCCACTGATGCCAAAAGTAAAACAGCAAATGGGAGTGGAGTAGACATTTACAAGGCGGGCACATTTATGCAAACAGTTGTGACGACTCCATTTATGCGAATGACTGTACTTGGAGTAAGTGGTTTTATTAGTTTTTGAAGCGAAACTATTGAAGTGCGCAATAAACAAATTGCAAGAATGTTTAGCTGTAGAAAATGAGATAAACAAAATGTAGATATTTTTCAGATCAAGTTGTGGGAACGTGCTATCAAGTGCCAATCCGGATCCAAAGGTTCGCTCGATTTTCGCCATGGTTTCAGCCGACTCTGTCATCACCTACATTGAACACTCGAACAATCCGATAACACTTCAAGAGATGAAAAGTTTGTTCAGTAAATAGTCATTCGTGTTCATTTTCATCTGTAATTCCGGTTCTTTGTCCTGATAATTTTTTGCCGGTTTTTAACTGTCTTTGTACAAAAATAAATATTTATCAGTCTATTATGCACTAGATTGCTGGCTGATGAGGGGCGTGTTCAGGAATTTCATGGTTGTGTTGTTTTGCCAAGTGCCAAGAAATGAAGATTACGATCATAATGAATAGGAAGATCGGAAAAGTATAATTAATCCATTCAGTCATAAAATTCAAAGAGTGATGTACTGAAATTTTATCGGCTTTAAAGACCATTTTACATTTTTTTAAACTTACATTTTTGAGACCGGTGCTGCGGAATGCAACCTCGTGTTGTTGGGATGTCGACTCGAGCTGTGGAATACTGCAATTGGCCCAAATTCTAGTATTTCAATTAGAAATTTGCATTACCAATTGCGTTGTGTAACATTTGTGACAATATTTTCAATGATCAACCAATACGATTGAAGTACGTCCAGGATTTGATCTAAAAATAGTGAAATTAGTTACAGGTCCAACTAGGGAAAGGTCCGATTTCGATGAGATCAATCCGAACCAAAGTTATATTACTTACGCAAGTTACGGGCAAAAGAATGTAATCGAAGCAAAGACTACGAGCTAAAGAAAAAAACTATTCAAAATACAACTTTCGTGGTGTATCAGAATACAAAACACGATCGTGTTGCTCGCGGCTGACTTGTGTAAATCATAAAGCTTTGGCTCGAATTGCGAAATCTCACTGTTCCCTAGTAAGAGTAAAGAAATCGACTTATAAAGTAAATTCAAGTTTATCGAAATCGTTTTTGAAATCGTTTCCTGGATGGCTACTGTTTCTTATTGATTTTGATAATAAAATTTAGAGATAGTTGAAGAAAAATTAGATGAAAAAGAAAACGAACGATGTCCGGCAGATGTTTCATTTTGGATGATCACTCGCTTGTTGAGTTGAATGAACTGAAAACGTTGTTTAGATAGAGCGCATACAATTTACAATTTTATTTTCTGATCTCATTGTTCTCAAAAATCTTAGCTACCATACTCTTTCAAAGCTTTGAAAAAGCACATTTTAGAAAGTACATTAATTTGAGAGTATTGCAGAGTAGTCTCACCTCCGAATACGTAAGTTGAGCACAATAAAATAAAGAAGATTTGTTTCATTTTCTGAATCGATTGATTAGATTTAAAAATAATATTAGCGTGCAAAATCTGTGAAAAAATAATCGGAAAAAACAGTTTGTGAAGGCGAGGACTTGTCTGGTGTGATAACAAACAATTGGCTTTTAAGTGACTGACCGTGCCATCCGGTGACCTCATTTACATCGACAACTCATACCTTATTGTTTTTAGTTGAACACTTGTAAAACTTGTAAAAACTTTAGTTTTAACATCATAAAAGCGTGTTGATGGAAAAGGAAGTTAGGGAATAAACGTAGGTAGGCTGGGTTGGTGATGGAAAAAAAGTTAAGCACGCAATGCCAGCAAATTTCCATATCTCCAGCACTCACCCACTGGACTGACCAATCCCACAATAAAGATCAGAGAGTTGAAGCAAGCACTCGAGAAACCCAATCTACCCGCCACCCCAATCCACCACAAACTTGAGTACTGAAAGTTTAAAATGAGCCCTGGTGCACATATTTCCATGTTAAAAATCGATTTCTTGCTGGAAGCCCTGATCATTCACACAGATCTACACAGCCAGAGCTAAATGCCCGACCTTAGCTTATCCTAACTACAATATGGATAGATTTAAATGTATAGGTAAATGACTAATAACATACAAGCCTGAAAAGTCTCTCTGCTGTATGGATGCTCTTATCTGGCTGGTCAGATGATCTGATATTTTACCTTTTTCTATACAGCTAACCATTGTGCCTAGAGTAAAGAGCTAATCCTTGAAGATTCAGCTCTGAACTGAGCTCTGCGAAAGACCAAATCTAGTTACACTTATCATCTGGTAAAGCCTATTTTCTATTAAGTTTTGGAGTTAAGTTTTTAAGTCCAAGTCTTTATTAATGAAGATAAGTCAAAGCCCTTATTAATGAAGACAAAAGAGCCCTAGTTAAATAATCAAAATGAACAAAGAGCCAAAATTGAATTCTTCAAGTTATATTGGATTGGTCATTTCAACAAAAAAATATTATTTGGTTGAGTCTGAAAAGAGCCTAGGTCTTGAACAAGAAAGGCTTTATCTCTCGCTTTTATTCACATTCACGCCATATCAAATTTGCCACATCTAATCCTGAATCTGTCTTTCTGAAACTGTCTTTGATGAACGAAGGAAACCCCTTTGATTTGTTTTAGTGTTATCTTTTGAGACGTTAGATAAATTTTTATGAACAAAATTCGTGAGGATGAATCATTGCATCTATCCATTCATGCTGCAATATTACCCAAGATTTCGTGGGGAGTAGCTTTCAAAGTTCGTGTATATTCTATGTTCGTGTATATTCGTGTATATTGTTTATATGGCAGAAGAATTCGAAAGAAAAGTGAACCTTAGCCTAGAGGCCTGGAGCGTACTGCCACATAAACGAAGGAAGCCCAAAATTGATTTCTAGTAATTCTCGGTGAAGGCTTGATAAAAGTTTATGTGAATCTGTCAAATTTGTAGCCGCTCGACATGGGGTTACTAATACTGTTCCAATCCTGATGCCGATGCATCAGTAAACAAAACTTGTCCACCTGTTGAGACGATTACCTCGAGATTTCGTGTCACTGGTTCATTTCGCATCATTTCGTCACCGGTCATTTCGCGTCAACGCTTGGCACACTCCGTCCATTCAGCTTTCTCTTCTTTGTTGGCTTGGACTGGTTTGTGAACGGGTGTCATCAGCCTCGAGTCGCCTCGAGTTGAGCCACTCTTTGTCAAATGAAACGCGTCTAAAACCTCGTCTAAAACCATGAAATGCGTAGAGATAACGTAACCACAAAACGTTTAAGCAATTTCTTAGTGTACAGCCACCGTTTAATAACGCTAATACCTTGCAGTTGTGCTTTTCAATCCGGCTTGGGGAAATTGATTCGTCTTGTAAATTCACCGTGAATCCTAGAAAATTTAGATGATGAGAGCACGGCATCAACAAGAAAAACAGCGCTGAAAATGTTGTTTTTAAATCCAATTTAGGCACCCCGAAATGTGTCAAAACTAAAGTACTGTTAAAAAGCAAATAAAGCTTATCGAGCTTCGTTTTAGGCTTTCCAGAATCACTATAACACTTCCAGTCTACGATAGAAAAGCTCGGAGTTATAGCTCTTCAAAAATAGAGAGAAATTCGCGAAATGATACCTTTTGTCCGTTATTGTTCATATGGCAGAAGAATTCGAAAGAAAAGTTAACCTTAGCCTGGAGGCCTGGAGCATACTGCCTCATAAATGAAGGAAGCCCAAAATTGATTTCTAGTAGTTCTCGGTGAAGGCTTGACTAAGTTTTTCTGATTCCGTCAAATTTGTAGCTGCCGATATGCACTCCAGGGGTGACTAATACGCTTTAATGCTGATGCCAATGCATCAGTAAACAGAACTTGTCCAAATCGTTAAGACGATTACCGAGATTTTGCTTCACCGGCTGCGTCAAACCCCTTGGTACATTCTGTCCATTCAGCTTTCTTCTTTGTTGGCTTGGACTGGTTTGTGGACGGCCGTCATCGCAGCCTCGAGTTGGACCACTATTTATGAAGTGAAACACGTTGATCGAACTTCGTCTAAAACCACCAAATGCATAGAGATAACGTAATCCAATAAAACGTTTACAATTCCTTAGTGTACAGTCACAGTTTAATAAGGCTTGTACTTGCATTTGTGCTTTCTCAACTGGCTTTTGGAGAAACAGATATAAGTTCGCAGTGAATCCAAGAAAATCCAGCAACTGGTTCCCAAACACACTTCTCGATTGCAGGGGTGATTCCAACCCTATTCAGTGTCTCGAACTCTATTCAGGCCTCGAACTCTATTCAGTGTCTCGAACTCTATTCAGTGTCTCCAACACTATGCCTCTGATTCTCAATATCATTTTGTGGCTATCAGCAAAGACTAAACCATCATCTAGATAACGAAAAATCTGAACGATTTAGACCCTAAAGTGAGTAGCTAGTGCACGAAACAGT